GTAATGCGTAAGGGGGATTCATTAGATTATTCTTTCTATACATATTTTCTGTAATAAAAATAAAAGGTACTTATGTTTTATTTTAAAATTATATCTAAAAACATTGACATGGGAAAAGAACAAAAAAGGAATTAAGTATGTATTACCTACAGAAGGGATTAAACAAAGAAAAATGTAACTTTCAAGTCTTCAATCATAAAAAGTAACAGCCAGTTGTTTTCCCATTTCATGAAATATCAAACAGCAAGAATTGAGCACAGTGCAATATGAAGCATAAAGATTACCAAATAGTGATGTATGTTATTAATAAAAATAGTAGAAACACCTTAAGAGTATTTTTAAAAAACAACAATGCCATTTACATATGGGGGTTGGGGGGGCAGGATGTTCTTTTTTATATTTCTAGTTTTATCTAATTTATCTGTAATACCATTATATGGCCCCTTAAATCATTTTATATTTATTTTCAAGTTCTTTCTTTCCTACTTCCTTTCTCCTTATCTGCCTCATTCCCAACACCTTCCCTGCCTCCTAACACACAAACTTATGTATTCACATATTCTACAAGACAAAGATACTGAAGCAATGGAAGTGCATTAGCAGAAGCAGTAACAGAAAACCATCAGCACTCTTAGATGTGCATATACTTACATATCTAGCCCTTGGGCCACATTTTGCTATTTTCTATGAATCTAATAAACATTATACTCATTCTACCTTAATATTATTTAAAAAGTCTTTTTTCTTATTTTTAAAAATTATTTGCATTTATATTTCTTATGTCATCTATAAATATTTCTAATTTAGGATTATAAAAAGATGAGTAAGAAATACAGAATTCCTAGAATAATCTGCCAGAAAGTCAAGGTCCTTCAGAAAATAAGAAAATAATAAGCTGAACAACAAGCTCTAAATATTTATATACATCCTTATACAACTCAGAGTTCTGTAAACACAATGAAACTATCAAAAAAAGTAATGCAAAGATCACTATCTCATTTAGGTGTACCACAAATACCTGAAAAGAAGTCTAAAATTAAAACCCAAATTTGTTTTTTAAACTTATAGTTTGTCAGGAAAAAAAATCACTTTATAAAGTCAGAAATAATATAATTTGTTCAATTTTTCATTGAGTATTAGAATGCTATTCTGAAATTTCTGATGGTATCACTGAAACCATCAGTGATACCAGACAGTTCGAGTCCTTCAACTCTAAAGTTTTAAATGCGACAACTGAGCATGGTTTTTTACCTTAATTCTCTGAAATATATAATGTTAATATTAATAATCTCTGTCTCATGGTAATTACTTCATTTGGTACCATACCACAGAATCAGCTGTTTTTCAGTGACTAATTGGGCATCTTCCTTGTGCTCCAACTCCAATCAATCATTACTGGCTGCTAATGGGTAGATTACCATTTTAAGAAGAATTCTGAGGAATTGCTCAAGCTTAGTGTAAAAAAGAATTTTTACCGGCAATGTCTGTCAAAGGCTCTGGACTAGAGGGAGCAACACATATTTGCTGGCCCTGCTCTAATTGCTCACTATCTTGCTCACCTCCCTCACATTCACTAAAGATTCGGACATCAGTCTTTTGATTCATGCTCATCCTGAGTCCTTTCATTATCTTAAGTTCCTTCCAGATCTATGTACATGGCCTACCAAAATCCTAGCTTTCGTGACACCATTCTACTGCCTACTTCTCTATCGCTTTTCATTCCTATATGAGCTTCTGTTCCTGACCTCCCAAAATTTAATATTCTCTAGAGTTTAACAGTTCCATTTCAGTTTTTCTTAAATTGCTGGTTTTGATCCATTAGGTTGTGATGTTCAGCTTAAAAAACAGTGTTCTATGGAGCCCTAAATATGGTGGCCATATAATTTATAATACAAATATTTTTGAGAATGAGAAGAGATATTAACAGTTACACCAGGAAAATAATCACAAACCAGAACTGTCCTAGACAAACTAGGCATATGTAGTCAAAGTAGCCCTAAAAATTGAGAGTTCAATCTCAGAACTAAGTGTTTTTTATGAATATCGTATCTGAAAATTAGGTGAAAGCTGAGAAGAACCAGTACTGTAGGAATAAAACACTCTAACCTCATATTCTGGGTCAAAAGTAGTTTTATCAATTTCAAAATGCAGAAAGAATACAATTAGGAAGTTGCAGGAAACATAAGCTGAAATGGTAATTTAGGAAGATTGAAAAAGGCCTTACGTTCCAAACCAATAGAGTTTGGATTTTATCCAAAGGAGAATTAGCAGGAAAAGACATAATTATTTAAGACAATAATTCTAATGAAGAATATTAACAGGAGTTGAAAACGGAGACAAGGAGCCAAGTTAGGACATCCTGTTGTCATCGTCCAAGAAAGAACTTGAAAAGGACATGACAGCCAGTTCATGAACTCAATAGACATACTATGAGGTATAATCTTCAGGATTTAGAAACTGAGATTTACAGCATTAAAAATTAAGTAAGAGTGGCAAAAATAACACTTCAGACATGTTAAACTTAAATACTTTGAAAGTATGTCCAGAGCACAATTGAAATGAAACTCAAGAGAAAGGCTGAGGCTAGAGATATAAATTATACATAGACACAATGTTATAAAGAAAGAGAATGTCAACAGTAGCAGAATCTATGGAAGTAGAAGATATCATCCAGTGTAAGGATATAAGACCAAAGAACAAACCTTTACAATTATATCCATTAAAATTTTACCATTTCTTACATTTAAGAACTCAAGTTCAAGAACAAGCATCACACATGCCTAGAGTACCTGACAGCAAATTGTTGAACCCCACCCCCTCAAAAACTGCCTGTCTCTATAGGTGATGAAATTTTAGTTCTAGCTACTGCCCAAGAACAGTAACTTAAATTTTTAATTACTTATTGCTTGTCCATGTGAAAACATTTAGAATGGCTGGCAGTCTATTCTATCTCGAGTTAAACATCCTACAGCCTGAGTAGACTGCTGGGTAGCCAAATTCACATATGATTAAACACATTCTCCTTACGATAAATAGCTTAGAACCTAAAAACTTGATTGTGTTACCAAAAAAATGCAGAAAGTGTGCTGTCTTCTAAATTAAAATTATTTTGTTTTACCACCACCAAAATAAAACAAAAAATACCTCAGGTTCGGATTCACTTATCAAAAATAACATTGAACTTCAAAAACAAACTCACTTGAGAAACAACTTAAAGAATTCTAATTTTTGTTAAATAGAAACAAAAGCTACAAAATTAACAGCAGCTGTACCTTCTTAAGATAAAGTAATATCTGTATAGTATTTTATAGTTTCTAACACCGCTTGCACAAACATCTCAAATTTTTAGGGTTTTTTATACAGTCTAAGTATGATTAAGGCTAACAGAATCTAAAATAGAATTACTTAAGTTCTGTTAATTGATTACCTAATTAAATATGCTATTTGTACCTTAAACAAAGTTAACATAATCCAAATGAAAAGCTGAACTATCAAATACAAAAGTTCTTTTTAATTTCTAAAAGTATGCAGATTATACTTCCAAATACCTGCTTTATATAAACTCCACTCCTGGAGAACAGATCCACCAACTCTGGATGATGTTTGCTATTCTGGCTTCCATGACCCAGGGTAAAGTTTGTATTATCACCCCAAGTGTAGACATCTGTAGGATCTAAAATGAAAATTCGCCTTTATACTCTTTTTATATCTTAAAACAATTATCAGTTTAATTCAACTATAGATATATTCTACTAATCAGTTTACCTAAAAAATGACTCTTTACAGAAACTAACTTAACTACCATATTTAGAAGGTAATACTCTTTTAAAATCATGAATCTATTTATATGATATTAGATAATTCAAGAAATAGAAATCAGAAAATCCAAGTCATAGTACAGCTATGTCTCAATGTAAGCAATCACAACATTTATTCCTTGTTTCTTTAGCAGCTAAAGTTTAACTGCCAAATAAGTAAAAACACCACCTGCCATATCTACTTAGTTTCCATGAAAATTATATATAGTTATTTTAAATGTAAGATGTTATTAATCCACACATATAAAAAGCTTCTAAATAAAACAAATGTGATGCTGTTTCTACAGAAACATTAATTTTCAACAGTTTGTTAAGGTAATATCCATTATATTGGGATACAACTTAATCACAACTAAGTTCATGATATAAACCTTCATTTTTATTTTATAAGATTGAAAAAGTCCTAGAATGAAATTCCAACTGTTACCCTGCAATGCAGTGCCCAAGGTAGAAACAAAAATGAAGAATGTGTCCTAACTTAACTTGCTTACTAGTTAAATGCAAACTATACAGTGTCCCATTTTAATCTCCTCTTCTTTTCTGCCAATTCCCACTTCCAAAGCTCAAAGGACAAATTGAAGGAATAAGTGAAATTAGAAAGCATTGATAAAAGAATAATCATTTCCATTCCTTTTTCCTTCTACTGAAATGCTGATGTTACTTTCCGTATGGACATCAATTACTTTATAGTAGTTACAATTCTAACTACCTTCCCATTTAAGCTTGTATTTTTACTCTTACAGACATAAAAATGGATTGAAAATTAGAAATACAAAACAAAGTGTCCTGAATATAAAACTAAAAATCCCATACAACAAATACCAAAGTAAAACTCTTTGCAGATACCCACATACAAATAAATCTTCCTGTTATTTTAATAAGAATAAAATTTCATTAAAATTTTCTAAGCTGTACCTTAATGGAATATATTTGTGAAATTTTCTTACCAGTATTCTTGAATACTACATGAGTTGGTCTATCCTTCATTACAAGATCCAAAGCTGACAAACCTTCTTTATCTTGAATATAAAGGCTAACACCATGCTAAAAAAAGAAAAAAAAATGCATCATCAATTTATCCATAATCACTAATTTTCTATTCTTATATATCAAAAAGTCAGATGATCAAGCCCATAAACGCATTGAAAAAATAAACATTTAATAACAAGCATTTCTGATACCCTCCTACACTTTTCTCTCACACACAGAAGAGAACAAAGAGAAATCAAATATCCAATTCATGGTGGAATGAGGCAGGACCAAATAATGTGGAAAAATAAGTAACATTGTAAATAAAAATTAACTAGATGTGAAAGTTTTCCATAGTAAGGCACATCTGATTGCTTAAGACCCTAACTACATCTATGTCTGTATGGGTATGCACACGTGCACAAACACATATACACTTTTTGCATTTAAAGAGCCATACTCCGTATCTTTACAGATAATAGTTATAAAGATTTCAAGGCAATGGTAGTATAACATTTATATTAGGATTTACTCTTTATTATGTGATCATCTATGTCCCATCTCTTTTTGCCTTGAATTCTATTATTGATATTAGACAATTACATTCTTTTATTTTCATTTGTGATATATATTTTATCTTTCTACTTAAATTTTTACAGCATTGTTTGTAATCTTTTGAAAATCACATATAGATTGTAGCTAAAAAAAATTCTGAATATATGTGTATGAGTGTTTTAAGTAGGAATTTAAAGTAATTTGTAATTTTTAATATCCATAATTTAAATTCAAACATGCGTTAGCACATCCCATCCCTATCCACATACTTTTCTGTCTTTTTCCTGTCTTTAAACATAACTGGGGGAGGGTTCAGGGGGAGGGGAAGCAATGTTCAATTCAGATTATTGTTATGTCATTATAATTGTTTAAACATAAAATGTTTTTTTCAAGAATAACTTTTAATGTTTGCTGACTGTTTAATAAGACTTTCAACATTTATTTAGACTTATCTATTTTAACTGGTACAAGTAATCACTCCCTAACTATACATACAGTTTACTTGGGTAGCTATAGGCTGAAATGAACCATGAAGTTTTTAAATTCTAGCAGTTACATGCTAGAATACTCAGTCTGGGTTACTTAAGAAAGAGGAATCTCCTCTTGCCTCATGGGATTTCTAATAAACTAAAACCAATTCTAACATCATTTTGTTTAAGATGGTTATAATACCTCATCTCACAGGGGCTGTCAAAACATGGTCAAGTTAGTGAGCTAACAAGTAAAACAAAAATCAGAAGTGATCATCTGGCCAGGTGTGGTGGGAGGCCACCTGTGATCCTCGCATTCTGGGAGGGCAAGGTGGGAGGATCGCTTAAGCTCAGGAGTTCAAGACCACACTGAGCAAGAGCAAGATCCCATCTCTACCGAAAATAGAAAAAAATTAGCCAGGTGTGGTGGCATGTGTCTCTAGTCCCAGCTACTTGGGAGGCCGAGGCAGGACTGCTTGAGCCCGGGAGTTTTAAGTTGCAGTGAGCTATGATGATGCCACTGCTCACGACTGAGGCAGGGGAGGTGAAGGGGGACAGAGCAAGACTCTGTCTCAAAAAAGAAAAAAAAAAAGTGATCCCCTAAGATCTTAATAAACTTAAAATTGTACACTGCCTACTACTGTTTAAAAAGTTAGATATAATAAAATAAATCATGTGAGAAGCCCTGAGCTTGGCCTTCATAAGAGTAAAAAGGATAGATTCTGGGGCAGAGTGTTCCAAGATATGAATTTGACAAATGAAAACCTAGAAACTTAGATCCCTGGAGAGTTTATTTTGCCAGTTTTATAATTTGCCCTGAATTTTAATATACGAACTGGGCCTTATTAAAACTACATACATCTGCATCATCCTAAGCAACCAACTGCATAAGGGACTAGGGACTTTTTTTTGTCTTTAGACCTCCCTAGTGGACTCTGACACTTTCTAATATGTTTACCTTAAAATCTTAAAGTAGTAGGACCACTGTACGGCCTATACCACTTATTTAAAGATCAACTCTTTATACATCCCCAACATAGTAGGTAAATTCATTAACTTAATAACTAGCATCTAATGACAAATCAGACTTATAAGCCTGAGCATTTTGTGCTAATGCTCTGTAAGGAGCAGAAGGACTTTACACACAGCTATTCCACTACAAAACACTGCTAACACGATTGGAAATGTCTGTCAAGAAATACAGAAAATTGTTTTTGTTTGTTTTGACTGTCTTCCTCAAAAGCACAGTATAAGATAAAGACATGCGTGGAGGTAATTTCCTTGGGAAGAGATCCTAGGAAGCAGTAGTAAGGGACCAGGGAAGTAAATCAAGGAAAGAGGAAAAACCAATACAAGGATGTATTATCAAGTGGCACACTAAAGAGACTTGTGCATGGTCTTGTCGGGATATTCTGGGAGCCTTATGCAATATATCACAGAATAATTAACTGTCTAATCAAGGAATTAAAGATAGAAGTATTTACCACAGGCTCCCATTCGCCATTAGCCAAGAGTTGCTCTACAGGGGCTTAACCCTCTCATAAAATACTTTTGGTTGGTCATGCATGAATGTAAAGCTCAGGGGTATAAAATAAGAGACATGTAATATATGCCAGAAACAGGTGTAGATTACACCAACACAAAACTGCTAGAAGCCTATGCACAATGGGACACTATAGTTGTGGGTGGAATAACAGGCGAGACCAACATGACATGAAGCGGTTCAGCACAGTATCTGATACACTGATCTTTTCAAACTGGTTATGAGCTAAGTTGAATGAGTTTATGCCCATACACTGCCAAGAAAGTCATGATCAAAAGAAATATCCTAAGACTATAAAATTTACAGTGGGGTAAAACAGGAATGTATTCTACTCTCCTTTCAAGCCTGGTCTTTAAACCTTTGATAGTACGGTACTTTTGGATAGACTGGCTTAGGTACCCTCCCTACAAGCTTTTGCTTCACCTATACTCCCCGGGGGCTGAGGGGAATGAGCAAGTACTATTATTATTATTCTCTTTTTATAAATAAAACTGAGGTTCAAGATTCAGTCATCTGTCCAAAATGATTCAGTAAATAATAGACCTAGATAGTTTAGTTCCAAGAAAGAATATATAACAAAAATTATTTTGATCAGTAAATGGTACCACATAAAGCCACTATATAAATAATTTTTAAGTCAAAATTAGATAAAAACGCTGAAGGTAAGCTTCCTAATTTGACTACGAGTTCCTAGAGGAAAGAAACTGTTTTGTTCTTTTCTGGGTCTTCCACAACATGACAAAATGCCTATATAAAAGAAAATTATTAAATTTAAAACTCATAGTCATGAGTTACAAAATTTATGTTTATTACTGAAATGACATTAGGGTATACCTTAAAACACTTCATTATTTGGCTATTCAGTA